CTCCTGCAGGGGGGTTGGGCTGGGTGACCTCTAGGGGTCCCTTCCAAGCCAAAACATTCTATGATTCTATGATTTTATGATTCTATGATTAACAGAAGGATCAGGCAGCCTTATCCTCTCCAAGCACACCCAAAATTTGCTTACAAAAGGATACAGGTGTACCAGGCACCAGGATAACAAAATTCAAGCAAATACACACCGGACCTTTTCATCAGCATGTATGAAAATGTGTTGCAGGAGCGGGAAGCATTATCCTGGCACTGAGGGGCTGATGAAAACCCTTCTCCAGTCGCAATGGGAGCAGATGCCGCTGCCCCGTCCCTGGGCTGGTGCTGGGTTGTGGGAGCAGCTCGGCCTCTCAGGGCTTCTGATGCCAGAGCTAGGGCAGACCACCAGATGCATCCAGAGCACAGGGCTTTGCATGGGGAGCTTGAAGGCACATCACCTCATGTAGCTTTTGAGCCTTGCACGGAGCACAAGGCTCAGCCAAATGCCTTTTTCTACTTGCAAAATTACTCATTTGCACAAAAAAAACCTTGCACAAGTCATCGCTGCTATATTAAAATACACAGTTCTTCCCACCATGGGCGCGTAACATGGTACCCACTAGATACAACCCAATAATTCACCGGTTTAATGTCCTTGAGCTGCAAGGCAGAGAAAGGGTGAAGGCACTAAGAAGAGCTCATTTTCAGATGCCCTATAGGCAAAGATCTGCCGGCACCGGGAGCAAGGGCGTCTGCTGCAGAGGGATCAGAGGGACCCCCGCTCCCCAGGGCATCACGTGCACACGGCAAACCCAGCACCTCTGCAACTTGGCCACGGACTTTGGGTCGGAGAGAGGTTTCACTGCAGGATTTGATATAAGCTCCCAAAAGCTAGAGCTATCAGGGTGAGCTCTAAGTGAGTAATTGAGGGGGCCGAGTGTGTTTTCAAATAAGATCAAATTCAACTTCCTGGACTCTGCCTGGCTTTCATGAATCACAGCTGAGTGCAGGCACACAAAATCCTATATACAAGCACAAAAATAAATTTATACCGTGCAGTTATCTTGACATCAGGAAACGCCATAAAAATACATTTCAATTTCAGATACTCCGTTTAAGTTTATCCCAGCGAGAGATGAGAACAGACGCTAAGTGATTGCCATATACCACTCTTACACTTTCAACAAAAACACAAATATACTGCAACGCCACACCATTACTTTCCCCCACTCTCAGGCATGTACATCTTAGTTCCTTCTAGGCTCAAGATAATCGGTTTGGAAAAAGCCTCAGTCAAGTCAAACGTGTACCATTTTGGTGCAAACCACAGCTTTCCAACACTTCCAGCAGGAGAGAACTGTCGAGCTAATTTCCAGCCATGTTTATATTTTTCAGTACATCTTAGTCCATCCCCCGCCAGCTCCACCACTCTCCTGGGCATCCTCCAGCAGGGTGGCAAGAGGAACCTCCAACCACTCCAGCTATCAGGCAGTTAATGCAGAAATACCGGCCATGAACCGAGCACAACCTCACCCAGGCAGCCAAAAACTTGGAGCCGGTGTTCCTGGTGACTCATCCTGGGTGGGGACAGCCTGCACAACTCAGCGAGGACTTGCTAAGTCACGGCTGTGTGCCCTCCACACGTCCTGGCAACGCCACCATGACTCTCTTGCAGGCAGCCAGCTGGCGGGATCCAGGCACGGGGCTGCCAACACACCGGTCTCGCACCTTTAGACTTCCATGGGTGTGTGTGATAAAACTCTTTTTGGAGCACGAGCCACCAGACTCATGAACCCAACAGAGAAAAAAAAAAAAAAAACAGTGCCAACTCCAAAGTGAGGAAGGAAGACTAAGCACCAAAAATGGAATTATGCTGGATAAGCCCATAGCAGCAATTCCCAGGACAGGTGATGGCAGTGATTTATCACTGTTTATCTCCAGTTAAAGTAGGTGAGCAGTTTCACATCTGCTTTGGTCATCTTTGTGGACAACCTCTTGCTGAGCTCCAGCAGTGAAAGTCCCACGTTGGCCATCAGTAAAATGCCACACATAAAAGTCACGTCAGCTACAAAAGAAGGGGCAAGACAGAGGTGCTGGCATGGGCTGCAGGCATGGGTGAACGGACTATCCTTCACCAGAAGTGAGGGAGAAGCAGAAGAAAGAGCCAACAACCAAGATCTCTGCCTGGCCCTGCAAAAGGAGCTCTGCAAACGCAAAGGTGGCTTGGCTTAGAGCTGCACTTGCATAAAAGTTACTTGGGAATTATTGCTTGTTACCCCTTTCAGCGTGACAGCTACTGCCCAAGTGGCACATTTCAAGAAAAATTTCCCCCTTCTTTTTTCTTTAAGCCAGAAGACAAAAACTACACCAGTCTGGGAGAGACTCCTCAGTTGAGTGAAGCCAATAAAGCTCAAAAAAGATGAATTATGCGTTACCCAGCATCCAGTCAGCACTGCTACAAGGGAATATTTTGTAACCTATTTTTTATTAAGATTATAATTAAGACCTCTCGTTACCAATTTTGACCTCTTTCACAACTTCTCCATATCAAGCTATTGGGGTGTGCTTGGCTGGAGGAGGCAGAGACCAACCCACCAGGGAGCCCATCCAAGGAGCTCTCCAGACCCACAGTCTCCACACGCTTCAGGTCCCATCACAAACTGCCTTTTATGTTGCATCCTGAGTGGTTTTTTTATCCCTCTGGCCTGTCTTTTTAAAAGTCCCATCATTTTCCAAAAGACACTGAACCTAGTGATAAAAACTACAGCCAACACCACTTACTGCTATTACAAGCTGCCCCGCCAAGTCACATTTTTCCAGAGTTTCTCAAGAATTTGTCTTAACAGCTGATGTGCTGCTACATGAAACGGGCCAGGTAGGCTCTCCGTGGCACAAGAAAACTTCTGGAGTTGTATTGTATTAATAAAAGAAATTAAAAAGAAAGCTGTTGGCTGCTACGCAAGACAGCAAGACCACTCATGTTTTTGGGGTTTTGCTGGAAAATGCATGTTCAGACATTTCTTTTCCAACTTCATGAATAAAAGCCTTTAGGAGTAAAGGCTACAGAGACTTTCCCTTCTTCAGTGTACAAGTTAACCAACTGCTGGTGCCAGCAGCGAAAGACAGATGTACCCCATGGAACAGCTGGTAGCAAATAAGCTGCTCAATGAGCAGAAATGGTTAAAACCAGGCAGGACTTGTTTGTATTCAGTGTGGGATAAAAAAATACTGAAATGTTTGGCCATTGTGCAGGTGCGGTATGCAACACGGCTGCTTGAGATACAGTCAATTTTGGCAGCATCAGCACAGAAGAAAATTATTATGGAAATAAAGCCTGAATAAAATTAAATGTTGTGGGTGAATACCAGCTCTGCTGCAGCATGGCAATGCTGTCACATCTCCTCCTGGGACTTATGTGGCTCCTGGGCACCTTGGGGCTGCCACCATGGCTCGTTATGCTGCTACAGCATTCATCAGCACTCTTCCCCCCACGGCAAACTGCTCACGCGATGCACACATGCCAGCACACAACATGCTCACACTCATCCAGCAACGCAAGGCGTGTAATGGGGCTTAGGCTTCAACAACGGCCGAAGATGCTTTCCCACCACGTGCCACTGCTATAGCTCAAAACTAGGCAATGAGGCACTTAAAGATGCAACTCCCCAACCTTCACTCCCATGGGTCTGCAGTACTTGTGTTTCTTCACTTAGAGCAGCTTTCCAAGATGACCCACAG